AGAACAGCTCTTTCTGTGACAGCGACACGGATTACACACTGACCACTGGATCCTGGACGTTCACTTTTGATTACTCGCCACGTTCAGAGAGAGCGTGAGTGGCCGGTCCGCTGGTGGTGGGGAAGAAAACTCCTGAATGGACAATTTACCGTCGGTGGAGCGGCTGGAGGAAGTGCTGATAGTGCAGCGCTGGTCTCATTTTATTTAGATTAACTACCCCTTAATACAAAGGCCCTCGAGCCTCGTCGGGTTCGGGCTCGTAACGGCAGCGAGACGGTGATGTAGAGCGGATTTAGAGCAGGTTTTATGTCCTGAAATACAGCGGGAGAGAGTCCGTGACGGTGATGGGCTAATAGAGAAGTTTAAATACATACGGAAAACTGACTGTTATCTTTGGTTACGGCACAGAGGTGGAAGTGGAAAAGGGGAAAAATGCGTTCTGGTCGGGGTTGGGATATTTTACGCATGCAATTAAAGTGATACAGACGATAGGGCTGGTGGAAATGAGGCTAAAGTCAAGTTAAAGGCAAACAAAGCAATGGAAATTAATGATTTTTGCCGCATTTTTACTTTACAAAACTATACGGTACCGTGAACTAGCTTCTTTATTATGCTAAAGCCAGAGATTTTATACTCAGGGTGCTTGCTCAAGTCTTGAAAGTCTTAATAAGTATGGAATTTTGAAACACTTTTTTTCCAGACCTTTAAATGTCTTGAATTTTGTGTTAAAGTCTTAATAAATAATGGGGAAAAAAATGTATGGTTAAAAAAAATTATATTTCTAATGAAGTAGGCAGTAGGCACACAAGTATACACAAGTGCATAAAGTTGGGAAACTTGGGAAAAACATATATCAGATTTAAAAAAGTCTGGAAATAGTATTCAATTTTAATTTGGAAAAAGAGCAAGCACCCTGTATACTAGCTTCTGTATTATGCAAAAGTTAGAGATTTTAGATTTTATTTTATCTTATTGTACTGTAGAGTTATTGCTAATTCATCGTGTGCTCTGTGCTGCAACACTGAAATTTCCCCACTTTGAGACGAAATGACGAATCTTAATCTTAATCTCAATCCTTCAGTGTTCTCAGTCTGTAGATTAAGACCAGCCACCATCATGGCTGAACCCGTGCGTCTCAGAGACCGCTCGCAGTCGGTGATAATTGTCCAAGAACAAGCATGAGGCCTTTTAACGGCGTCTTCCATTAGGGGCAGGATGCACTGAGGGGAGGTGCGCTAATGAAATAAATTAGACCGTGTAATTTACAACAACGCCGACCGCCCCGAGTCCCGCGAATGTTCCCAGCCATCGCTCATTCAAACCCTGCAGAGTTACTTTTATTGTTGTTTTAATGTGCGCACATGCCCAAAGGGTGGAAGACAAGACGCAATGTTTATTTCCACGGGGAGGACCGGGGCGGGAGGAGACAGACTCGGGCGGGAGGAGACAGACTCGCATCGCAAACAGACGCCTCCATCCATCTTGGAGAGTCGTAAGTCACTGCGCTTGGATTCATGCGTGGGTTGGATTTTTTTAATAAAGAGGATATGGGAGACTTTAAATGGTGTTTACGCTGCAGCATCTCGGTGATAAATAAGCGGGAATTGGCAAAAACGTGATGATAGTAAAACGCGACCCGGCAACGGATGAAGCGGAAGAAAATGGATGTATGGGTGGGTGACGATAGTGAAGATAGTATCGCGATATTTGTGTCAAAATTCAATATTATTGCGATTCTTAAAATATCATGATACAACAAAGACCTTGTTACAGACAGGACTTCAATAGGCTCTGGATAAACGACTCTCTGTGACAAGTAAACATCATAGAGTCATGATATCATAGAGTCATAACATCATAGAGTCATGACATCATAGAGTCATGACATCATAGAGTCATGACATCATAGAGTCATGACATCATAGAGTCACAACATCATAGAGTCACAACATCATAGAGTCATGACATCATAGAGTCACAACATCATAGAGTCATAACATCATAGAGTCATGACATCATAGAGTCATGACATCATAGAGTCACAACATCATAGAGTCACGACATCATAGAGTCATGACATCATAGAGTCATGACATCATAGAGTTACAACATCATAGAGTCATGACATCATAGAGTCATAACATCATAGAGTCATGACATCATAGAGTCACAACATCATAGAGTCACAACATCATAGAGTCATGACATCATAGAGTCATAACATCATAGAGTCATGACATCATAGAGTCACAACATCATAGAGTCATGACATCATAGAGTCACAACATCATATAGTCATGACATCATAGAGTCACAACATCAGAGTCACAACAAACAGACGTCATAGATTCACAACAAGCAGATATCATAGAGTCACGACAAGCAGACGTCATAGAGTCACGACAAGCAGACATCATAGAGTCACAACAAACAGACGTCATAGAGTCACAACAAACAGACGTCATAGAGTCACAACAAGCAGACATCATAGAGTCACAACAAGCAAACGTCAGAGTCACAACAAGCAGACATCATAGAGTCACAACAAGCAGACATCATAGAGTCACAACAAGCAGACATCATAGAGTCACGACAAGCAGACATCATAGAGTCACAACAAACAGAAATCATAGAGTCACAACAGACGTCATAGAGTCACAACAAGCAGACGTCATAGAGTCACAACAAGCAGACATCATAGAGTCACAACAAGCAGACATCATAGAGTCACAACAGACGTCATAGAGTCACAACAGACGTCATAGGGTCACAACAAGCAGACATCATAGAGTCACAACAAGCAGACATCATAGAGTCACAACAAGCAGACATCATAGAGTCACAACAAGCAGACATCATAGAGTCACGACAAGCAGACATCATAGAGTCACAACAAACAGATATCATAGAGTAACCACAGACATCATAGAGTAACCACAGACATCATAGAGTCACAACAGACGTCATAGAGTCACAACAGACGTCATAGGGTCACAACAAGCAGACATCATAGAGTCACAACAAACAGACGTCATAGAGTCACAACAGACGTCATAGAGTCACAACAAGTAGAGTCACAACAAACAGATATCATAGAGTCACAACAAGCAGACGTCATAAAGTCAAAAGAAGCAGACATCATAGAGTCACAACAAGCAGATATCATAGAGTAACCACAGATGTCATAGAGTCACAACAAACAGATATCATAGAGTCACAACAACCATGTAGTGTTTTTAAATCTGGACGTCCCTCATGACCGCTTTTGTCCTAAGCTGCTTAGAATGTGATTGTTCACTTTGCCAATCAGGAAAAACAAAAAAACTGGGATAACCGACCACTTAAGTTGCGTGACCCTGTGATCCCCTTTTTCTTTTAATCCACGGAAGGTTGTAGCTTTCAAGTCAGGTGACCACCGCTAATAATCCCGAGAGAGAGAGAGAGAACCGAGGCGTAAATGGGGCCGATGACAGGGTAGTAAATAAGAGTGACAGCGGCTAAAAATACCTTGTTATTGTGGAGGCATAAATATTGAATCAACACGTGCCGTAGAGACCTCCCCTGAGGGTTTCTGTCCAACGGCGACGGTGAGAAGTGGGTCGGCACTAGATCATATACGGAATCAGGAAGGAAGCGGAAGTAAATTTGTCCAACTACCTTAACTAATAGATCCATGCCTAAACAGCCATTCTCATATAATAACCCCAACCCACCTTAACCCTAACCTTAACCATCTCACTCAGACCACCTTAACCCTAACCTTAACCATCTTACTCAGACCACCTTAACGCTAACCTTAACCATCTTACTCAGACCACCTTAACCCTAACCTTAACCATCTAACTCAGGCTCAGGCTGTAGACTCAGGACTGTAGAACAAGGACTCAGGCTGTAGACTCAGGCTGTAGACTCAGGCTGTAGACTCAGACTGTAGACTCAGACTCAGACTGTAGACTCAGGCTGTAGACTCAGACTGTAGAACGAGGACTCAGGCTGTAGACTCAGGCTGTAGACTCAGGCAGACTCAGACTGTAGAACGAGGACTCAGGCTGTAGACTCAGACTGTAGACTCAGGCTGTAGACTCAGGCTGTAGACTCAGGCTGTAGACTCAGGCTGTAGACTCAGGCTGTAGACTCAGGCTGTAGACTCAGGCTGTAGAACGAGGACTCAGGCTGTAGACTCAGGCTGTAGAACGAGGACTCAGGCTGTAGAACGAGGACTCAGGCCGTAGAACGAGGACTCAGGCTGTAGAACGAGGACTCAGGCTGTAGACTCAGGCTGTAGAACGAGGACTCAGGCTGTAGAACGAGGATTCAGGCCGTAGAACGAGGACTCAGGCTGTAGAACGAGGACTCAGGCTGTAGACTCAGGCTGTAGAACAAGGACTCAGGCTGTTTGTTCCAGGACAGAGGAGGCCCCCAGGCGAGGAGGGGCTGCAGCCCACGAGTCCAATGATAGCTGTGACACGATTAGTACCTGACAATATTTAGATAATAAATAAACTATATCTATGTGTATAAAAAGTCTTAGCAGTGACATAGACCTATAATTATAATCGTGCATGCCCCGAGAACGACGTGAACCTGAAGTATGGGTCTCTCCTGCGTAGCTTTAATCAATCATTTGTGTTAGCATTTGCCTGAACATGCTAGCCATTCATTGTCAATTTTGCACGTTCTCCACACGTCAGCTTAGGTCTTCTACTGTTGAGAAACGCAGACTTGAGGCAGCGTTGAAAAAAGCCAAACACAATTGTCCTGAAAGTTTATTTTCAGATTTTTAGCTTTTAACCAATCCCACAGATATTAAACCAGTCCAGACAACGCTGGTATAAGACCGAGCTCCGCTGTGACCTTCACGATCTTATCCCTTAAATTTTATGTGTCGCGTTTATACCAAAGTCCTCTTCCTGAAGGTCAGAGTCCACACTACCACTGAAAAACATGCACAAAAGGTAAAATCCACCAGCTTCGATCCTGACCGAGCCAAACATCAACATCTAGAGATAAGTCTCCTGGCTCCTGGCTGCTGCACTGTGGGGCCGGGGTGTGGGGCCGGGGTGCGGGGCCGGGGTGCGGGGCCGGGGTGCGGGGCCGGGGTGCGGGGCCGGGGTGTGGGGCCGGGGTGCGGAGGACAAAGGGGTAAAAAAGTTGAACTGTGAGAAATGGCCTTGACAAAATGGACATGGACAAAGACTCAAGAGATATGGTATTTTTTAAGTCACAGTGACTTCAATCCTTTCTCTGAGTGGGCTCTTTGATGAGGATTTTTCTATAAAAGAAAAACTATGAACAGAGAAAGAGACCAGAGAGAGAGAGACCAGAGAGAGAGCAGAGAGAGAGAGCAGAGAGACCAGAAAGAGAGACCAGAGAGAGACCAGAGAGAAAGAGGCCAGAGAGAGACCAGAGAGAGACCAGAGAGAAAGAGGCCAGATAGAGAAGCTAGAGATAGAGACCAGCGAGAGACCAGATAGAGACCAGAAAGAGAGACCAGAAAGAGAGCCCAGAGAGAAAGAGACAAGATAGAGACCAGAGGGAGAGGCCAGAAAGAGAGACCAGAGAAATGGACCAGATAGAAACCAGATAGAGAATTGAGAGGGGCCAGATAGAGACCAGAGGGAGAGGCCAGAGAGAGGGACTAGAGAGATAAACCAGAGATGGGCCAGAGAGAGAGACCAGAGAGATAGACCAGAGAGATAGACCAGATAGAGACCAGACAGAGACCAGATAGAGACCAGTGAGAGGCCAAAGAGAGACCAGAGAGAGACCAGAGAGAGACCAGAGAGAGACCAGAAGGAGACCAGAAGGAGACCAGAGAGAGATAGACCCCAGAGATTCTTCTGAACTAATCTCTGTGTTGCACAAAAGCCACAAAAGTTTTCTTCTGACTCAGTTTTTCTGTTTGGACTAATTCACACCTGGATTGGCTTTTCAGTGTGACGCAGATTGTCCTAAGAAGTGCTTGCTCTGTCTTCATTCTATCTGGAAAAAAAACTCTGCAGAAACTCTGTATGAACTCAAACGACTGGAATGAAGGACCACGGAACCCGCCTCCGTCTCTTTTCTTTTCCGACATAACAACACAACTTAACTTGACTATATTTATCATAATTTCTTAACCAACCTCTAATACCATATGTGTGTACCTGTTTGTAGCCTGTGCTTTGTGTACTCCCAAACACACTCTGCTGTGGTCTTAGTATCCAAGTCTGAAGAACTCGTCCTCCTCTACTGCAGTCTGTACTTAGACTCATTTAAGACATAGCTGAGGTGTAATTAGATTCCCTGGAAACAATAAGCGCCGGGCAACCTAGCCGCTCCTCCCGCCTCGTACAGACACTTTCTCTGCTGCAATTAGTGGAGGTGTGAATTCCTGGTCACATGGATCACCATCTGCATTCACAGGCTGCTCCTCTCTCCCACATCTCCTCACACTCGCTCATTACCGGGCTCCAGAGGAAGGAAGAGAGGCTGCCGTTTGCTGCTTTTTATCAGGTTTCTGTGAGTGCTTTAGGGCTCCGACGGTTCGCCACCAAAAGGTTAATCAATTCTGAATGATGAGCCATAAAAGGTTTAATAATGCAGGCCAGCTCTTAATGAGTGGTCCGGAGCTGGGAATGTTTTAAGGAAAGGTCCGATTGCAAAGTGCTGAAGCGGTTCGTCTCGTCCTTTTGAGCTCGGAGGATGGAGACGTCCAGTCCAGGCGGCGAACGGGTCATTTGGACGGAGATACCATTGGATCTGGCCATGAGGTCAGAAGAGCAGGGATGTGGATAGAGTTCCCACGCAACCTTAAAGCTGGGTTGTTTCAGAAGCAGCTTTTGTTTGTCCCAACAGCAAGGGTGTAGTTTTGTATTGCTCTAAATCACAACAGCAGTAATCTCGGAGGACTTTACCAGAAACCGTTGAATTCACCAACAAAGATCAGAGAATTAAAGAGTTCAAACACAAGGAAACACATAGAGCCATTGGTCCATCTCACGACTGCTGAAATGAGAGAGACCAGAAATATCAAACCTGTTGTGTGTAAGTCTGAGCAATGTCAAAAGCCGTGCATACACTGTAAAATACAGCTGCAGAGGACACTGAGGGGCAGGAGCAGAACTGAGGGCAGCGGGAGACCAGAGGGAGAGACCAGAAAAAGACCCTAGAGTTGGACAGAGAGAGACCAGAGAGAGACCAGAAAATTACCCAAGAGATGGACAGAGAGACAAAGAGACCAGAGAAAGACCAGAGAGAGACCAGTGAGCGAGAGACCAGAGAAAGACCAGAGAGAGACCAGAGGGAGACCAGAGAGAGACCAGAGAGAGATTAGAAAGAGACCAGAAAAATACCCAAGAGATGGACAGAGAGAAACCAGAGAGAGAAAGAGACCAGAGGAAGACCAGAGAGAGACCAGTGAGAGAGAGACCAGAGAAGAGACCCAGAGAGAGCCTAGAAAAAACCCTAGAGATGGACAGAGAGAGACCGATCTGCAAAAACACGAGGCAGCACAAAGGGGACAACGTTATTATAGATTAGCATTATTATAGAGTCAATGGCTCCTACACGTAATGAAACATGTGTGTTTTCAGTCTGACATTAACAATAACTTGGCCGTGGACGCTTCAGCTGCACGTGACACAATACAGCCTTATCTTTTGTATCGCAGACAGGTAATATTGATGAGTTTATTGAGGCAGGAGCCAAACCAGGCACAGCTGCACGGGGTTTTACGGGGTGATAAATAAACCCTGCGATCCAAGATGCTAGATTCTCATATTTATTCCAGTCTGAGTCATCGTCTGCGAAATTGAGAGGGCACTGAAAAGTTCACTTCACACAGGGTATTGTCTCCAGATAAGGGAAATGAAATCTGAATTGGAATTTTGACGGTCCGCACATGAAAGGCACTAGATATTCCGTCAGAACTATTTAGCTCTGGTGTGTATTGTGGAGGCTTTCCCATATATGTCTCAATTTTCTCCTACTATTTTGTTATTTAGTTGTTTCGTGCTGATGTAGGAGGGTCTGAGGACAGTGGGGATGATCCAGGATACTCCACATTTAATTTTTTTTTCATTAATTTAGTCTTTAATTGAAGGGACAATGTACAGGGGTATTAAGACAGATATGTTTTGCATCATCTTATAACGGCTAGTTTCCATCTGCAGTCCCTGGTTACATAAATTGGTCATCCGCCCCTTATAGACCAGGGATCTCCAACCTGTGGCTCGGGATCTACCAGTACTGAAGCTCGCCAGCCCCTTTCAGGTAGCTCGCCAAAGGTGTTGGGTTATACAGCATTATGGTATATGTATGGGTTTTCCATGTGTTTTTGTAATTATTAGATAGATTTTTAATACGACTGCGAAAAGGAGTAGCTCTCTGCCTCTTCGTTTGTGTAAAAGTAGCTCTTGGATTGAAAAAGGTTGGAGACCCCTGTTATAAACCAATAGCTCTAAGTGTTTTTTTAATCATTCCATGTCATTGTGTTGGCGAATTGGACCGTTTTGTAAAGTCCTCCGAGAAAACTGCTGTTGTGATTTTGGGGGACACAAAAATACATTGATTTGAATTGAAATATTTAAATTTCCAAACCCCATTGACTGCCATTGACGTATTAGTCTGAGACCCTCTGTTCCACTGGGGATTACAGGACGATAAAAACAGCTAGAAACAAACTTATTTTTACTGATGAAAGAAGACAATCCAGTCTTTCAGAATCTCGTTTCATATTTCACATAGATTTAGGAAACAATATTCTGTGGGTTTTGAGAATCAGTGAAATCATCAAAAACGGCTGCAGTCAATGAGTTAATCTAATACCTTGAGATGCATACATTTACTTATTTAGTTTCTCCTCGTCCTAACTGCTGCACACAGTCTCTCTCCGCATTGATGGGAGGCAAGGACACGCCGGAGAGCCCGGTCGGGAGCAGGCCCGGTGACAGACGCACAACATTATTTATTTACACTGTGGAGAAGGTGGACGAAGAGTGGGAATGCCAGGAATGTCTACAACAAGCCAAAGAAAACACTTGATACAGACATTCCTGCACTTATTGAATGCGTGACTCAGTAATGTTTGTGCAAAGTGCAGCGTGTGGATCCTCGCTTCAGATGTTTTCAGGAACGTCGTCGTTGGTGAAGGTCATTCCTCACGTAAAGTGTTTGTCGTGTGTGTCTCTGCTACACACTCCTATCTCTAGTGTCA